CATAAGATATGACCTTATATTGTCTATTTGTGCTCTTTCAGTCTTTTTGATGTAGGCATTTAAAGCTATGAACTTTCTTCTTAGCACCACTTTTGCTGTATCCCAGAAGTTTTGACAAGTTTGTCACTATTTTTGTTCAGTTTGAAACTTTCTTTAATTTTTATTTTGATTTCTTTTTTAGCCCAACAATCATTCAGGAGATGGTTATATAATTTCCATGTATTTGCATGGTTTTTGGTGTTCTTTTCTGTGTTAATTTTCAGTTTTCTTTCACTGTGGTCTTAGAGAATACTTGATATAATTTCAAGCTTCTTAAATTCACTGAAACATGTTTTGTGGCCTGTCATGTAATCTATCTTGAACAATGTTCCATGTGCTGATGATTATAATGTATATTCTGTAGTTGTTGGGTAGAATGTTTTGTAAGTATCTGTTAAGCTCACTTGTTCTAGGATATAGTTTAGGTCTGTTGTTTCTTTGCTGACTTTCTGTCTTGATGACATGTCTAATACTGTCAGTGGATTATTAAAGTCCCCCACTATTTTTGAATTGTTGTGTATCTCATTCCTTAAGTAAGTCTAGTAGTAATTTCTTAAATATAAATTTGGGAGTTTAGTGTTAGGTGCATATATATTTAAGATTGTGATATGTTCCTGTAGGACCAGTTCTTTTATCATTATATAATGTGCCCCTTTGTCTTTTTTAACTGTTGTTGCATTAAAGTCTGTTTTGGCTAATATAAGAATAGCTACTCTTGCTCATTTTTAGTGTTCATTTATGTAGAATACCTATTTCCACTCCTTTAAGTTTATATGAGTCTTTATATGTTAGGCTAATCTCCTGAAGACAGAAGAAACTGGGTTGATGAATTCTTATCCATTTTTCCATTCTATATCTTTTAGGTGGGGCATTTAGGTGAGTTACATTCAACATTAGTATTGAGATGTGAAGTACTATTCTATTCATCATGCTAGTTGCCAGAATATCTTGGGTTTTTTAATTGTGTTATTGTTATACAGGTCCTGTGAGAGTTAAACTTTAATGAAGTTCCAATTTTTTGTATATTTTGAGGATTTTTTTCAAGATTTAAGGCTCTTTCAGCAGTTATTGTGGTGCCAGCTTGGTAGTGGAAAATTTTCTCAGCATTTGTTTGTCTGGAAAAGACTGTATCTTTCCTTCACTTATGAAACTTAGTTTTGCTAGAGACAAAATTCTTGCCTGATAACTGTTTGTTTAAGGGGGCTAAACATAGGAATTCAGTACCTCCTAGCTTGTAGAGTATCTGCTGAGAAATTTGCTGGGATTCTGATAGGATTTCCTTCGTAGGTTACCTGATGGCAAAGTTTTTGCCTCACAGTTCTTAAGATTCTTTTCTTCATCTTGACTTTAAATAACCTGAAGAATATGTGCCTAAGTGATGATTTTTTTTTTTGCAATGAATTTCCCAGGTGTTCTTTGAGTTTCTTATATTTGGATGTCTAGATTTCTAGCAAGGATGGGAAAATTTTCCTTGATTATTCACTTAAATATGCTTTACAGATTTTTAGATTTCTCTTCCTTAGGAACACCAATTATTCTTAGGTTTGGATGCTTAAACTAGTCTCAAACTTCTTGGTGGCTTTATTTTTTTTAATTATTTTTTCTTTGTCTTTGATGAATTGGTTTAATGTGAAAGCCTTGCCTTCATTTTTAAATTATTTTTTCTTTGTCTTTGATGAATTGGTTTAAGGTGAAAGCCTTGTCTTCAAGCTCTGAAGGTGTTTCTTCTTATTGTTTGATTCTATTGCTGAGACTTTCCAGTGCATTTTGCACTTCTCTAGGAGTGTCCTTGATTCCAGAAGTTGTGATTGTATCACGCTTTTTGTTTCCTTAAGTTGCACTTCACCTTTCTCTGATGCCTCATTGATTAGCTTAATAGTGGACCTTCTGAATCATTTTTTTGGCAATTCAGAGATTTTATCTTGGTTTGGATCCATTGATGGTGAGCTGGTGTAATTATTTGAGGGTGTTAAATAACCTTGTTTTGTTATATTATCAGAATTGTTTTTCTCGTTCCTGCTCATTTTGTAGATTCTGACAGAGGCAAGAACTGGGGCTCAAGGGCTACTGTTCAGATTTTTTGGTCCCATAGGGTACTCCCTTGATGTGGCATTCTCCCCATTCCAACAGGGGGATTGCTTCCTGATAGCTGAACTGCAGGGATTGTTTTTGCTCTTCTGGTTCTAGCCACCCAGTGGAGCTATTGGACTCTAGAATGGTACTAGGGAGTGTCTGCAAAGAGTCCTGTGATGTGATCCATCTTCAGGTCTTTCAGCCATGGATACCAGTATTTGCTCCGGTGGACGTAGCAGGAGAGTGAAGTGGACTGTGTGAAGGACCTTGGCTGTATTTTTGCTTAGTGCACTGGTTTTATGTTAGTTGACCTCCAGCCGGGAGGTGGCGCTTTCAAGACTATATCAGCTGCAGTACTATAGGGAGGAAGCAAACTTGCCCTAGGGTCACAGGTAGGGCCGTAGAGCTACCAAAAGGTTATGTTTTTGACATCAGTAACCAGGGAAGATAGAGAAAGACCATAAGGTAGGGGGCAGAGATAGGCATCTCTGAGCTCAGACTCTCTTTGGGTGGTGTGATTCCCAGGCCAATGAAGTTACGTTCCCAAGGAATTATGGCTGTCTCTGCTGAGTCACACAGATCTCAAAGGAAGTGGTAGGGAGAGGGACCAGCAGCAACGAGCCTCACCCTGCTCCTATATAGCATTCAGTCCTACAGGCTCGTCTTACTGCCTCTGTGCCCCTCAACAACACTGAGTCTGTTACCAGGCATTTGGTGAGCAAGGCTGAGAACTTGCCCCTGACCACCAGCCTCCCTGCAGAGAAAGAAAGCCAACTCAGTTTTTTTGGCATCTCAGGGAGCCTGCAGCTGGTGACGCAATTTCTTTAAAGGGTTTGTGGATTCTCTCAGCTTTCCCAGTATGTGCTATGGTAGTTCTTGGAGCAAAAGTTCACAATGTGAGTCTCCATATGCTGCTCTGTCTGTCCATGTGGGAGCTGCAAGCTAGTCCTGCCTCCTATCTGCCATCTTTTAAAGGCCTATATTTTAAATATTCAAAGTTGAGTAGAAAATATTTGGAAAATTACTCTTTCTCCCTTGTGGCCATTTGCCTTTTTTACTGCACAGATCCCTGTTGTTAAACAATGTCTAGCCTAACCCCTGTGAGTGCTCCTTAGTAAGAACTGTAAACCTTGTAGCTTATTCCTGAGAAGTAGGAAAAGAGCATCTTTCAAGCAGGGATTGGTGCAGAGGACTGATTATGGCCAATAGGTAACCACTGATGGCAAAAAGAAAAGAAAGTGGGAAGGGTCAGTTTCTGGGACCCTTGCAAGCAAAGGAAAAGTATGGCCAAATTACAATGGAGTTGTCACAACATGTATTTGGTGAGAAGGTCACATATCCTAAAAGGTTAAAAAAAAAAATCAAAGGGAACAGGAGAGAGAAGATGGGGATGCTGCAGGGTTACATCAGTTCTCTACCCAGTATTCCCTTTCTGTGCCCCTAATCTTCCAGTCTCTGTCATCTTGGCAATTCTCTACCTTCAGATTCAATGAGGATATCTCACTCCTGGAACTTGGAATGCAGAGGCTGAAAATAGTTCTAGGCAGTTAGTATTTCCTCTGATATGTGGAAATGAAACTATAAAAATAGAAATTATTTTAGCAACATAAAATAGGAAAAAGTAAATTTAGCCATCCTAATTGTGAGCATCCAATTTTGATATGTTTAGGTTATCAGAAGTTTCTAATTATAGTAATTAAGTTCTAGTTTGTTAGTTAACACATTTACTTCATAAAGTTTATTTAAACCAGTGACATAATGTGAAGAAAACAAATTGTTGGCATCTATTTTCTTTTTATGTTTAAAAGGTGGTTGTGATTTTTTGAAATCTGCGAATTCCTAACCCATTTTCTTAATACCACTTTGCTTTAGATACATTGGCCTCAGACAGCATTCCCTTGTGATTTGAATATTTTTCACATTCAGAAAATTGAGAATGATTAAAAGTAAACAGAATCAGTAAACCGTCATATATAAATCACTGTCATGTTTTGTGACACAATAAAATCTGAAAAATATGAATCACAAAAAGAACAAGAACAAAGTAAAATCTTGTATGCTTCAGTTCTAATATTTGTAGGATATCTCTCTACTATGATGTCCCTGAAAATTTTGACCAGTTTATCTATGCTTAAAACTAGGAGTTAATCTCAGAATGTATACTTCTCCTATATACAATATATGTATTTCTGAAATGCTGAACATTCCATGAAATCATGCACTGCAAATAAAAATTGGCTTAGGGACAGACCACCGAAACGTATGAACCATTGTGATAAGACCACTAACAGAAACAAAATTTAGCAGAGACCCCTAACCTGGACAGCCTAGGCTGCTTTAGGAGATATTAAGAAATGCATTAAATCAATAGAGAGAAAATGCTGGACTGTGGGCTTTAAGAACACCAAGAAGGAGGAAATGGGACTCTGAGCCCAGAAAGAAAGAAAAACTAGCCAATAACTGAGTACTGTTTGAAGCAGGGCCTGAAAGTCTTTTGACCCCCAGTAATCCAGTATTTCTTGCCTAAGAAAAATTTATATGAATCAACATAATTTTCATGTTTTATTAATAACATTCCCCTTTTACCAATCAGGTTTAAGTTAATCAATATTATAGGAAGAACAGAGTATATAGATATATAATGCTCTTTCTTCCCTATAAAAATAGGAAGAGAAAAGTAGATCAAATATGTCTGTGACATTACCATATGATTTAAGCCTTTGAGATTCCTAATAATTTTGCTTCCTGGGTGGATGTAGGCCAGAACGATGGAATAATTTTCCAAAATTTTAAACTTTTTAAAATTCAAAATGTGTCAATGTAGAATATCACCTAGTTACATTTGAAACATTTTCCTTGGATTGATATCTGCTTATCTCATGTTGCAGGAGGTATTTTAGCTCCAATATATTTTGGGGCTCTGACTGATATAACATGTATGAAGTGGTCCACCAAAGACTGTGGAGCACGAGGGTCTTGTAAGATACATAATACCATATTTTTGGGGTAAGTTTTCAAACATATTTTATTAATAGATTTTTTCTTAACTATGTTAATTTCTAAAGTCTATCTTTTTTAATGTGATTATAATCGTAATAATGATAGCTACCATTTAGTGAACGCTTGCTTTGTATTTAGTATTTTATCAGGCATTGTGGTATCTCGCTTTAATAATCATAGAAACTGTAGGAAATGGATTTTTCTGTTTTTTCCTTAAATATGAAGAAGACAAATTTCAATAATAATGAATAACTTGTCCAAAATTGCAAAACTAAAAGAAATACAGCTAGGATTTGTACTTGAATCTCTTTTTATTACAAAACTCTCCTCCTCTGGCTTCTCCAGGAAGACATAGAATGACCAGCTGGTAACCTGGTTATATGGTCATTGAGGAAAATACATGAAAAAAAATTTTTCAATATTCTTCTATTCATAGGCAGAGGTATTTTCTAAGAGGTATTCTTAAGATAACTGGATGATCATCTGGAAGAAAAGAAGTTGCTGCAATTTTTTCTTACCTACTAAAGAAACATTAATTTGAAATTTATATATTGACCAAATATATAAATTTTACATATGAAATTATAAATATTAGAACTACTTATATAGGATTTCTTTTAATTATCTAGGAAGAAAAAAATGTGTTTCTAAGTGTATTAGTCCAATCTCACACTGCTAATAAAGATATTTTGGAGACTGAGTAATTTATAAAGGAAAGAGGTTAAATGGACTTACAGTTCTTCAGGTCTGAGGAGGCCTCAGGAAACTTACAATTATGGCAGAAATGGAAGCCAACACATCTTTCTTTACATGGCAGCAGTAAGGAAAAGTGAAGAGTGAAGGAAGGGAAGAGCCCCTTATAAAACCATCAGATCTCATGAGAGCTCACTCACTTTCATGAGAAGAGCGTGGAGGTAACCATCTCCATAATTCAATTATCTTCCACTGGGTCCCTCCCACGACACATGGGTATTATGAAAACTACAGTTCAAAATGAGATTTGAGTGGGGACACAGCCAAATCATATCATTCTGACCCTGGCTCCTCTAAAATCTCATGTCCTCACATTTCAAAATACAATTATGCCTTCCCTACAAGCTCCCAAAGTCTTAACTCATTTCAGCATTAACTCAAAAGCCCACATCCAATGTCCTGTGTGAGACAAGGCAAGTCCCTTCTGCCTATGAGCTGGTAAATTCAAGAACAAGTTATTTCCTAGAAACAATGGAGGGTAAGGTAAAGGCATTGGGTAAATACACCCATTCAAATGGGAGAAATTGGCCAAAACAAAGGGACTACAGGCCCCATGCAAGTCTGAAATCTAATAGGGCACTCATTAAACCTTATTGTTCCAAAATGACCACTTTTGACTCCATGTCTCATACCCAGATCACACAGATGCAAGAGGTGGGCTCCCATGGTCTTTGGCAGCCTTACCATTGTGGCTTTGCAGGGTACAACTTCCCCTCCAGGCTGCTTTTATGGGCTGGTATTGTGTCTGTGGCTTTTTCAGGCACACAGAGCAAGGTGTTCGTGGGTCTTCCATTCTGGGGTATAGAGGATGGTAGCCAACTTCTAATAGCTCCACTAGGCAGTGCCCTTGTGGGGACTCTGTGCGGGGGTTCCAACCCCACATTTTGCCCTAGCAGAGGTTCTGTATGAGGGCCACATTCCTGCAGAAAGCTTCTGCCTGGAAATCTAGGCAGTTCCATACATGATTTGAAATCTAGAGGGAGGTTCCCAAAAATCAATTCTTGACTTCTGTGCATCTACAGGCTCAACACCACATGGAAGCTGTCAAGGACTGGGGCTTGCCACCTCTAAAGCCATGGCCCAAGCTGTACCATGGCCTCTTATAAAAATGTCTGGAGTGGCTGGGACCTGTAGCACCAAGTTCCTAGGCTACACACAGCAGGGGTCCTGGAGCCCAGCCCTCAAAACCAGTCCTTCCTCTTAGGTCTCCTGGCTTGTGATGGGAGGGGCTGCCGCAAAGTTCTCTAACATGCCCTGGAGACATTTTCCCCATTATCTTGGCAATTAACATTTGGCTTCTCATTACCTATGGAAATTTCTGCAGCTGACTTGAATTTCTCCCCAGAATATAGGTTTTTCTTTTCCACTGCATCATCAGGGTGCAAATTTTTCAAACTTTTAGGCCCTGCTTCTGTTTGAACACTTTGCCACATAGAAATTTCTTCCACCAGATACCTAAATCATCTTTCTCAAGCTTACAGTTCCACAGATTTCTACGGTAGTGGCAAAATGTCACCCAACCCTTTGCATAACAAGAGTGACCTTTACTCCAGTTCCCAACAAGTTCCTCATCTCCATCTGAGACTACCTCAGCCTGGACTTTATCATCCACATCACTATCAGCAATTTGTTCAAAGTCTCTTGGAAGTCTCTTGGAAGTTTCAAACTTTCCCACATCTTCCTGTTTTTTGAGCCCTCCAAGTCTCTAGGTTCTTCTGAGCCCTTCAGTCAGTTCCAACCTCTGCCGGTTACCAAATTCCAAAGTTGCTTCCATATTTGTGGTTATCTTTATAGCAGTGCCCCCTTATCCAGTATCTTTTTACGCTAGTAGTCCATTCTCATGTTGCTAATAAAGACATACTCAAAATTGAATAATTTATAAAGGAAAGAGGTTTAATTGACTAGCAGTTCTGCAGGGCTAGGGAGGCCTCAGGAAACTTACAGTTATAGCATGGGGGGAAGCAAACATGTCCTTTTTCACATGGCAGCCGCAATAAGTGCCAAGCAAAGGGAGAGAAAAGCCCCTTATAAAACTATCAGATCTCATGAGAACTCACTGTCATAAGAACAATTTGGAGATAATTACCCCCATAATTCAATTACCTCTCACTGGATCTTGTCCACAACACTTGGAGATGATGGGAACTAAGATGAGATTTGGGTGGAGATACAACCAAACCATAACACTAAATGTGACCCAAATGCCCCAAATGATAATTTTTAAAAAATGGTAGAAGGATTTTTATTGCCAAAGCAATAAAACCCAAACATTTATACCCAATAATATGATTAACAGGCTGAATGGTAATATTGTTTTACATTCTCTCATATATCACCAGAGTGCTTTCTACAATGGCAGAACTAATTTACAATCCCACCAGTAATGTATAAGTAAATGTTCCCTTTTCTTCACCACACTGTCAGTATCTGTCATTATTTTGCTTGTTAACAATAGCCATTCTAACTGGCGTGAAATGGTATCTCATCGTAGTTTGATTTGTATTTCTCTAATAATTAGTGATGTTGAATCCTAAGTGAACCTATGGAACAGAAAATCAAATACCACATATTCTCCTTTTTAAGTGGGAGCTAAACCTTGAGTATACATGGAGAAAAAGAAGGGAACAAGAGACAATGGGTGGAGTGTCTACCTGTGGGTGGAGGGTGAGAGGAGTGTGATGATACAAAGCTACCTGTAAGTGACTATGATTATTACCTGGGTGACAATAAGTCTGTACACAAAACCTGTGTAGCATGCAATTTACCTATATACAAAGAGCCACATGTGCCTCTGAAACTAAAATAAATATTAAAACAAAGAAGATAAAGAAAAGGAATAAATAAAAAATTTTTTAAAACTACATCACCAAAACTTACTTTAAGTGTAGTTCAACAACAAAATATAAATTATAATAATTTATAAGTCAGACACAGACCATAGGCAAATGTTCTATGTATGTAAAAATCTCTTAAAAATTAACAAAAACAACACCAAATGCTGACAAGAATAGGACAACAGGAATTTCTTTTATTATTAGTGGTAATGTAATATGGTACAGCCATGTTAGAAGATGAAGTTTCTTACAAAGCTAAAGATAGATTTATTGTATGATTAAGCAAGCATGCTCCCAGATATTTACCTAAATTAGTTGGAAACATGTCCACACGAAAACTGGCATTTGAATGTAAAAAAGTGGAAGTATTTAAGATGTCTTTCAATAGGTAAACAAATAACTGAACTGTGGTACATTCATACAATGGAATATTAGTCATCAATGTATTGGTCCAGTCTCATAATGCTATAAAGAACTACCTGAGACTGGCTAAATTATGAAGAAAACAGGATTAATTGATTCAAAATTCAACAGGCTTTAGAGGCAGCATGACTGGGAGGCTGCAGGAAACTTACAATGATGGTAGAAGACAAAGGGGAAACGACATGTCTTCTCATGGCAACAGGAAAGAGAGAGAAAGAGAGAGCAAAGGTGGAAGTACCACACACTTCTAAACATTAGATCTCATACCTCACTCAATATCTTGACACTAGAAAGGAGGAAATCCACCCCCATAATCCAGTCACCTCTCATCGGGCCCCTCCTCCAATTCAACATGAGATTTGGGCAGAGGCACAAATCCAAACCACATTAAACAATGTTTTAAAAAATAAGCTATCAATCTACAAAAACAAAGAAAAAACTTAAATGTGTAGATTTTTAAAAGGCCATCTACAAAAGCTTCGGGTTATAAAATTTTAACTGTATGACTTTGTAGAGAAGGCAAAACAATTGGGCACTGAAAAGAGCAGTTGTTTCTTGGGTCTCAGTGGGGAGAAGTCAGGGATGAATAGGTCTGACACGACATTTTTTAGGCTAACAAGACTATTCTATATGAGATTATAACATTGGATTTTAATATTATGCATTTGCAAGACCTATAGAAATTTACAACATTCAAAAGTGAGCTCTAATGTAAAATATGAACTTAATAATGTATCAGTATTTTTTCATCATTGGGAAGAAATGTGCTGTACTAATACAAGGGGCTAATGATGGTAGACACTGAATATGTTGGTCAAGGATCTCTCCATACTTTCTTTACAGTTTTTCTGTAAAACTAAAATTTCTATAAAGTATAAGAACAATTAAAGGAATAAACATTTTCCCAAAAAAGTCACTAGAGGTTATGAAACATATCAAAAGCTGAATATCACTTTTTCATTCTTTGACAATTACAGAATTGCAATTAAAAGTCAC